CGAGCGCGCCTGCGTGCGTGGCCAGCGCGCTCCCCGCTTCTGCCTGGCTTCCCGGCTTAATTTTCCTCGGCGGGATTAAAGTTGGAAATTGACCGGAGAATTGAGTTGCCGGGGAACAGAGCCCCGGCCGCCGCCAGAGCGATGTTCCCGCAGAGCCGGCACCCGGTGAGGCGCGGCTGGGTGGTGGGGGAGCAGGAGCGTTGGGGAGGCGCTTCTCCCGGGCGGTAGGGAGACGGGTGGCTTCTGCGGCCCGGCGGACCCTCTCGCCCTCCGCGGCATAAGGCTGGGGAGGTCTGGGGCCCTCTCCTCTTGGGGTGGGGAGTGGGCTGAAACTCTGAATTTTCTCCCTCCCTTTGGACTCCTTCCTACTTGACGTCTATACTGAGCGGATGGGGCGCTGGGGAAGGCTGGGGTTTCTCTCCTGTAGCCATATCCCCCCAACCTTCCCCAAGGGGGGCAGGGCGCCCCCCCTTTGTTTCTCGTCTCGCCTATTTACATGTCAATGCGGCCCCGGTTCCGGTGCGTCTGGAGGTGGCCCTGGCGACTCTGGGAATGGGGAGCGTAAAGGAGTTGTTTTTCTCTTCTGGTCCTCCGGGTCATTATCGCCCCCGTGGGGGAAGGGGCGGCGACACCGACAATCTGGCCTGGTCTTCCCTGGCCGCCGGGGAGCCCCCTTCCCTTTGGCCTGGTGACCCGGGCGCACTTAACGCGATCCGCCCTGGAGACTGGGAAGAGCTTCCGAGCCTCTTTAGAAGCCGGGGCCCGGGGAGGGTCCACTTTCCCCCTCCCCCAAGTGAAGGGCAAACTCGAGTTTGGGGCCTCATTTTCAGCCACTTCTAACTTTATTTTTTGTTTATGTCCCACCCGTTCTTTCCTTCTCTGACTTACTGCTTTATTCATCCGCCCGCATTCCCGTCCCTCGGTCCCCCTCGCTGGTCGCCCCCAGACGCCGCACCAGGCTGCAGGCCAGCCCTTCAAGTTCACTATCCCGGAGTCCCTGGACCGGATTAAAGAGGAATTCCAGTTCCTGCAGGCGCAGTATCACAGGTGCGTGTCTGGCCGCTCCAGGCGAGTGGTCGCGGGCGTCCCCGCGCCCCTTGTCGCCCAGCCGGGTGGCGGCGGCGCCTGTACTTAGTTCTTGCGTCCAGGCGGTGGCGTGTGGAGTCTCAGTTAAGACCTGTCATTCAAGTTACCCCCTTTCCTGGTTCTTCCCGGGCCGCCTCTTCTCTTGTCTCCTCCTCCTCCCATTGTTTCCCTTTTGCTGGTTTGCTGCTGTTCCAGGGAGTCCTTTTTCGTGTCTTTAGAAGTTGCATGAGAATCGTCAATATTTGCACTTCATGTATTTATTTTTCAACAGACTGAGTTGAAACATTGGTTCAATCGATGTCTCAGTCCTGGAGTGTGGGTTCAGGGAAGCAAAGCCATGTTGAAATCGCTGTTTGCCATACTAGAAAATTGGGTTTTTGAGGCAAAGTTCATTAAAGAAGGCTAGATGCTTTTAACATTGCCCATCATTGGCGATGGTGAGGGAGGTGGGTATAATAGTGTGCAGAAGAAAGCTCACCTGCTTTGGCGTCATTTCAGGTTGGTTTGGGTAGGATGGGAGAGTGGAGTCACATTTATATCCATCTCAGCCTTAGTTTCTCTGAGTAATGAGGCTTGCCTCCGAAGGACTTACACATTTTTGTAAGATACTCTGCCAATAGTGAACTTCCCAGAAAGGTTAGTTTCTTTCCCTTGCTCCTATGAAGTTTTACCTGATTCTAACTCAGAAATAACTGTATTGACATTTTTTGGTTTTGTCATGCTTGAGAAAAAGCACACAGATGAGGCGAAGTGGCTTGGGTGTGAATTTTCTTACTTTGTCAGGGGCTTTCTGATTATTGACCTTTTGTCTACTTGTAGATAATATCTGCAGCTTGAGGCATACTTGCACACACCGTGTTTACCCAGCAGGGAGAACTTCAACCCACTTTATTGCAGTAGCTACTTGACATATTTTGGCAGGGATTTAAAAACCAAAGGTTTTGAAAGGGACTAGCAATTGTAGGAGTAACTTAACAGATAGGATTTTCAAACCTAGAGACCGTTTGAGTTGGCAAAGATGGCACAGCCTATGCGTAAGAGTGAAGATTGTGCAAGGGCCGGATTTTGGTGGAGTCCAGAGAAACTGATGCAGGAAGGTAGGGAGCAGATGACCATGAGGAGGAATCAGTTAGAGGTTCTGACAGATTTTTTGCATTCTTGTCATCTAACCAGATAGGCACCAAGAAGAATGGTAGCTGAATGGACACCTCGTATTGTTCACATTATTCCTTTTCCCTATTAAATGCAAGGACAAAGCTTTTGGGTGTTTACCTAGATAGTTTATGGCTTTTCCAAATTGGTCTGTGTTTTTACTTGAAGTGCAAATATGTGAGGCAGATGTTAAAACAAGTGACATAATGTTTACATTAAGTTGCCTGTTTTGTTTTCATAGCCTTAAATTGGAATGTGAGAAACTGGCAAGTGAAAAGACAGAAATGCAGAGGCACTATGTGATGGTAGGTATCAAAGAGTCGACTTTTTCCCTTTTCGTATGATATTAGCAAACGTGTTAGCAGAGTATAAAAAACGTGAGTTAATGAAATGCTTGATTCTTTTTTCTCTTTACAGTATTACGAAATGTCATACGGATTAAACATTGAAATGCATAAACAGGTAAGCTTTAGTTGAACTTCAAGCTGAAATGAGAAATCAGTTCGTATGATTTTATAATACTGGCTTTGTTCTCAGTAGTGGGCTCTAGGAGTGGGGGTTTGTATGCTATTTTTCTGCCTTGGTTTCCTGTCCTGTGGATTGATGGTAGTATTCTGCAGCAAGAGTTGCTTCCTGATAATTACGAGTGTTTAAATGACTAGGAGAAAGAGAGGTGTTTTGGAAATATAAACTAGCCTGTTTATTGGCAGATAGGAATTGAGACTTGAGTTTACTTTTCCACCTGTATAGATTTATCCTCTTCAAAGGGCTGGGTATCTTATAGAGTTGTTGAAGTTTAGAATAGTTAATGTTTTTGTGCTGTTTTGCAAGGACGTGTGGACCTGTAGGGGGAAAGAAGGGTATTCAGGAGTTTCTTTAATCATAGTAAACAAGGTATATGACTATCTGTGGAGTATTCCTTATGCTTTGGGTCTGCTCGAAGCAACAGTCAGGATTAGTGGCTTATTAGCAAACAAATTTTTGAAAAATTTCTCAGTTGTTGCAGGTTTGGATGTGAAAAAAGCATCTTTTTATGGCCAGAGCATATGTTGGGAGTTGCTTCAGTCCTAGTGGTTTTAAAAGCATGAAAAGATTAGTGACTGGAAAGCTCTAGCAATGACTATGAGTTTGCAAGTTCCCATAAAATTCACACTTATGGCTACTATAATGGTGTATAAAAAGAGTATTGAGCTGGAACAAGGCACTAAGGACCTCATAAGAGAAGAAAAGCTAAATGATTGCTCAGCCCAAAGGACCCTCGATTGAGTAGTCATTGTCTGCCAAAGAAAGCATTAATGGCAGGGTGTAAGTATTCTGGAGATATGCTGACATTCACTTTTTCATCAAGACGCTGGTACAATAAGTCTTTTAGAAATCGATTGCCTCTTAAAAAATTATCATCAGATGAAGTTGCACAGTTGGACACATTTCAAAGTGCAACAATACAATTCTTACTTGATGTATATGTGCTATTTCATCTCAAACCCTTGTTTCATTAAATTAAAGAGCATGGCTGACCGGCTGGGGCACAGTGGAGAAATTGATTAGTTCAGCCTTCAGATCTTCCTTATATTCAAAGACTTTCATTAAGCAAGTGTGTTTCAGAGTTGAATTCTGCTTTTGTAACTCTGCACTCTTTGATTTTTAATTCATCATAGATTTCATAATGTTAAGTTATCATCGTGTACATTAGATCTGTTCTCAGATATGTGTTTGGAAAGAGATTGTGATGTTCAGGGCCTTTTATTAGTAATGTAATTGGGCCTTTTAAAAAGGCAGATTTTACTATGATTTGCAAAGTTGGTAGCCTACTTTATGTTGGGTTTGTGCCTTTGTTTTTGTGTGTTTCTCAATGGCTAGTGCTTTATTCAGGCACTTGTAACTTGTTGATAGTAAATGGGCTAGAAGATCTATGGCTAACGTCTATCGTCATTTAAGTGAATTATGCAAATAAACTTGGCCTAGGCTGTTTAATTTTTTTTTTTAATTACTCTGAAGGGCACTTTTTTTTGGATAACACATTATGGAAGAGTAAGAGGAGACTGAGCTTTTTCTTAAATCCGTGAACTCAAAGGATTTAATAACCTCATTGACTCTTTTACAAGGAAACACCCCCTCGGTGTGATGCTATATGCTGGTGCTAGGTTTATTGGAGGAGCTAAAAGAGGTGTGTAATTCTTCTGGGTTCCTGTAGGTTATGTGGCGGGATGACCTCTTCTTTATCATGTAGGGAGAAGGGGTGAAGTGGGTCAGAAGCACCATGGTGTGAGAATAGTTTTCTAATGAGTTTCTATACAGCGTGAGGCATTTGTGGGTATATGCTGTCTGTCCGTGAGCCTGTATGCATTAATAATATGCTGTGTATAATTGGCTTAGCAATTTGAAAAACGTGAAAACCTGAGAGACACCATGTTCCTCATAGTAGGGTATTGAGCCCCCTGAAATTTAGTTGATATTGGAAATGCTGACAGACCCTTAACTCGAGTGGTGTGCAAAGTAGTGCTATAATTCAGTTTAAAGTGGCCTTACATTTGAAAAACATCCTTCTGAATGTCACACATTAATAATAAGTTCTGAGGAGGCATTTGGTGCAGCTAGTAATCATAATTCTTATTAAAACTAGTGACGTCTGGCCCCCAGGGTGTAGCCAGGCTCAAATTGATGCTTTTTGCTGCCTGATCACCAGCATGGCCTAACTGCTCATTATATTGTAGAGAGGGCCTTTGGAGCTCTCATTAGATTTGACAGGAATTCTCTCTAGGGGGAAACTGGGCATTAGCGAGACTCCTGACAGGCTGAAATTATTCCTGCTTTATGGCTTATAACCAAATGCTAGCGAGGCATCATCAGGGGACACAAAAAATTGTCATTTCTGACAACATCTTTGTTACTGAAAAAAAAAAAAAAAAGCAGTGAAGGGGAAACTTTCTGTACAGAGAGCTTTAATGCTGTTAAGATTTGTCTCCAGTGTGACGATCGCTCTCCCTTCCCACCTTTCAACGGGTTTGTCGAAGGAGTGAGTTCTAGAGATTTCAGTGTCAAATCTCACTGCTGACTTTCCCGTCTGGAAGTTTTAAAGTGAAAGTGCATCCAAATCAAGAATGGTATAATTGTGGTTTCCTTCCCTGGTGTGGTGCCCACAGCCCGTGTTTACGTTGTGTCAACACTTCCTGATAAGCCTTCCCCTTAACTTTCTCTGCTCCCATTTGTGGCGGGTTACCGAAAAGGCAATGAAACAGGAATGGTAATAGATACTTAAATCTTTTATGGTAGCACTAAGAATATTTTTTTCTTAGAGCCTTTTATAGATCCCTGCCTGCCTGTCTTTATCTGTGTGGATGGTAAACTCTAGATATCGCTATACAGTAGAGGTAGACAGTGTCTCCTGAAAAATTGAGGCAGTTCTGATACCATCAGAGTGTTAGGGTGCATTAAAAAACAACTAGTTGATGTGAGCCTGGTGGTTTGCTTAGCTATGCCTAGTGTGTGTGGTGGCGTGATCTTTAAATGTTTTTATCTGTCATATGGCTTGATATTACCTCATTTGATATTTTTGGGAACAAGATGTACTGTAAATGCACACATAAGCCTTATTTTAGCCCACTCGTGTATCTCTTCAGCATGCTGATGAAGCCATGCTATAAATTGTCATTGGTGGCTTTAATTTGCACAGTAATGAACAGTTTTCAATGTGATTTTTCTTCTGTGACCTCCATAGGCATCCTCCGGCGTAGATTGGGTAGGTGTTTTGCTCCACCCACAGCTGTGGGCATGTGTTCAAAGTCTGGGACTTGCTCAAGGCCAAGCATCTATTGAAACTTGAGTTGGGTTGCCTCCTCCAGGGTTGTCTGTGCTGCTTCTTCCTTTTTTTTTTGAGACGGAGTCTCGCTGTGTCCCCCAGGCTGGAGTGCAGTGGTGCGATCTCTGCTTACTGCAACTTTTGCTTCCTGGGTTCAAGCGATTCTTGTGCCTCAGCCTCCCAAGTAGCTGGGATTACAGGTGCCCGCCACCACGCCCGGCTAACTTTTTTTATTTTTTATTTTTTTATTTTTAGTAGAGTGAGGGTTTCACCATGTTGGCCAGGCTGGTTTCGAACTCCTGACCTCAAGTGATCCACCCGCCTTGACCTCCCAAAGTGCTAGGATTATAGGCATAAGCCACCACACCTGGCCTGTCTGTGCTTCTTCCTGTCCCCTCATGCTGCCATCAGCAAGATGAGGTGGACCATGTCTCCCTAGTGCCTGCCTCTTCAGTTTTCAGTCTTTGTGCTGATCAACTTCATGATTTATAAGACATGTCAGGGCTGGATGTATGTTCTAAAAGTTAGGAAAATCAGCAGTGCTGCTGACTGGTCTTTTCGGGGAGAGGAGGGTTACAGGCCATGGGTAGGTAAAAAGTTGTATCCTACTGAGCAGTACTGTCCTTGGGTTAAAGTACGTTGAAGAAGAAACAAGTCAGGAATCCTGGTGGAGGCGCAGTGATGGGGAGGGAGTTTGCTCAGTCACTCTGTGCCTGGGTTCTGAAGAGTGGGCAGAGTGAGAGCATTGGGCTCTCCAGGATGGTGAAGTTTGTTTTTGTTTTTGTTTTGAGACAGAGTCTTACTCTGTTGCCCAGGCTGGAGTATGGTGGCCCAATCTTGGCTCACTGCAACCTCCGCCTCCCAGGTTCAAGCGATTCTCCTGCCTCAGCCTCACGAGTAGTTGGGATTATAGGAGTCCACCATCACACCTGGCTAATTTTTGTATTTTTAGTAGAGACCGGGTTTCACTATGTTGGCTAGGCTGGTTTCGAACTCCTGACCTCAAAGTGATCCGCCCGCCTTGGCTTCGCAAAGTACTGGGATTACAGGCGTGAACCACTGTGCCCGTCTGATGGTGAAGCATTTAGAAATAAATGAAAGGATTAGCTCTTGAAGAAAGGATGATATATTCTGCAATCCTGGTTTGGGAAGGGGAAAGAGCTCCATGTGATATTTCAGCAAGCAACGTCTCAGGCCATGTAAATTTTGGAGTGAAATTGCTTTTAGTTTTGATGTGTGCTTTAAAATTTCTCTTAGAATAATGCGTTGTTCTTTAGTGGGTTTTTAAAAAGGTATTTAGATGGGACTGTTAGGGACTCAACTGTGGGATATTTCCTTAGATGTGAGTCTTTTACTCTTTGCAAATTTTACCTTAGTGGTTTTTTTTTTTTTTTTTAACCACGTGTGTTTTTGTCTAATAGTTTCTCACTTTGAGATTTCTTTTCCCCCTAAGTCAACATCTCACACAGGGAAATGACTAGAGTATAGACACTTAGAGTTAAGCTCCAGCAGGTGTTAATAACCTTGTTATATAAAGAGGGTAGCTGTCATCAAGATTGGAGTGGTCCCTAACTTCATTAGCCAGGCCTGTTCTTTGCAAGCATAAGTTAAAAGAGATAAAGCTCTCTGTGCATTTAGAGCCTAGATTCCGAGGTGCAAGATA